CTGGCCTGTAGTTCCCCAGGTCTTCCTTTTTTTCCCTTTTTAAAAATGGGTATTATGTTTCCCTTTTTGCAGTTAATGGGAACTTTAATGGACTGTCATGACTTCTCAAATATGATGGATGGTGGCTTAGCCAGTCCATCCACCCCCAGGCAGAGCTCCATGCACTCCAGATGGTCATTGACACAGAGGGCAACACTTCCTCCTCATCTCTCCTGCCTCTCCTAAAGAGACTGTATCGTTCCATTACAAAACTCCGCTCATAGGAGGCATCCCACCAGTCTCCCTGATGTCAGTTGGATCATAGCCCTGCAGACGTGTACACACTAACTCCTCTTGTTTATCCCCATGCTATGTTTGTTTCCATAGAGGCATTTAAGTTGGGCCCCTGATGAAGCCTGGAATTAATTTGTGCTGTCCCTCAGATGCTCTCCTCCTGACCTGCAACCCCTCTCCAGGCTCTGGGCAACCCTTGCTGGTACTGGCATAAAACTGGTAGGAGCTGGATGGATTGAGGTTCCCTTCCCCCTGCAACTTTAGTTTAAAGCTCTCTTCACCACCTTAGCTGCCTGAGGTCTGGACTGCAGCCTCTCCCTTCAGCACCTCTGTCTGGGTAGAAGCATTAGCCACTGCTGCGGTAGATGGTGCAGACCCCCCAGCTGGAGCTGCAGCCTTTGCTCTCAGACAAGTGTCCACCATTCAGACTTAGGGTCAGGTAGGATGAGTGCCCTTGACCTATGGAGATGGTTACAAAATGGTGCCCAGTGGTGGAATCCCCTTTGAAGAGGTGCCCTCCTGCGCGGACTGCTGTGCCATGCCACGTTTGTCCATCCTGGTCACAGGGCTCCTAGTCGCTAGTCCCTAGGGCTGCCTTTGTGGCTACCGTTACTCATGGCCTTGCCCAGCCTCTCATGAGAGCTGCTGGCTCCTGGTGGGTCTCAGTGCTCCCCTGGGGTTTCCCTGGCTCAAGAATGACCCACGTACACTGCAATCCCCCACTGTGCTCTGGAATGCACCTGCACTGGAGCTGATTGCCTTGGCAAGTGACGAGATAGGTAAATGTCATGTTTCAGTCACATCATCAAGTTGCTAATTTCCCTAAAACACTGGGGCATACATCCTAAAATACCTCATATGTGTAATTGCTCCATATATACCATTAAAATATTATACCTTATTATCCCTATCACAACATAATTAGCATGTAAAATCACGCATTCTTTTCTGATGAGATAACTCTGTCTCTCTTGAGAGCGTTACATCAGTGTAGCTATTCCCTCCTGCATGCAATTAAATCTCTACCATAGAACACAGTATGAGATATTTAAAGGAAGATTTTCAATACTGAAAACCTATACTTCCTAATTTGAAGTTAGATTTTGGAATCTAAATTTTGACATCACTGCACTATTTTCTATTGTTTGTCTTAGTGTACTTCTATAATTTCATTATGAAATTACTATTAACACAAGAAAATATTCTTTATGATGGCACTTAGATCAAATTATACGTTAGTAAACATTAATATTTTCTTTTAAGGATTTTAAAAAACCTGCCATGCCTCTTTAACATGATGTTTAAGAAATGTTCCTTCAAGATCTGATATTTACTATTATATCAGTTTGGAATTAATTACTTCAAATAAATCTGCGTAAAGTGAAGGAAATAAAGCATCTCTTCCAGTTTTTCTCAAAACAATAAACTAAAAACTAGTACAAACTGAGGGTGCAGTAACTAACTGTAAATCTAAGTGGAGTTCACACATTCAGAGCTAGACAGTAAGACCTGACTGATTTTTTTCATTGAATTTGAACAATGTCAATTACAAATAGTACTACTATTATTAATAGTAATAGTAGTAGTATTACATAAAGAGCAACAAATAGAAAATTAGATGATTTGTTTACCTGGCTGTGTCCCCTAATAAATTAGAAAGGGTAAACTAGTTTGCAACTGATATGCACTGGCATTGATTCACTTTATACAGACTAAAAAATGACTGCTGAAATTTAGAATTTAACCTAATAACATTCAATAAAACTCTAGGTTGAGCTCAAGCAGTGCTTCAGAGATCACTGTTGCAACTCTTCCCTTTGCATTCAAAATGCTAAACCAGTCTTCAGCAGTTTAAAAGAGGACAAAATACTTTCTCCTTAACTTGGGTAGGAAGAGAGCTGTTCTGATTAGAGCTTTCTGGAACACATCTGATGAAGAGTTTTACTAAAAATCATTAACTTGAGGTATCTCGAAAAATGTGCATCATATGCCAAAGATACATCAGACAACTGCCTGCCCATAAACCCAGCCTCTCTCTATGCCAGGAAGGGTTACCCCTGAGCCTGGGTGAGCCAGAGAGCATCAGCTTTCAGTTTCCCACTTTGAATTATGCCTAGACTCAAAGACATGTCTACACTGTGGGTTAGACAAGCTCCAAGTCCAGCTTTGCCTGTCTTCATGCTATTTCTGGGCAAGGATGCCCAGGCTCTGTGGCTCACTGGAAATGTTGCACACAAACTTTATGATTCCTAACAGCTCAGATGCTTGTGCACATGAACTGGAAAGCTTATGAGTGAGCAGGGTCACCACTAGATCTTCCAAACTCAGTCCTTCATCGGCAACAACAGATGCTTTAAGCCTGAGTCACAGCCAAGCCAAATTGCCCACAGTTTTCATGGAAGTTTGTCAAGCTTCAGGCCAGCCTGATCTTCCAAACCACCAAGCAAGAACTTTAGGTTTCTGAGACGAATGCAAGGAATCTGCCCTGAGGTTGCAGCCTTGGGAACCAGGGAGGCCCTGCTAATAATGGTGATGCTCACAAGAACAACTGCAGGTCCAGGATGGCATATTCTTGCAAAAACAGTATGTGTCCGTGATACATTTCAAAACCCCTGACGTTTCTGGTGAACTGAAAGATCAGTCTGTGGCCAAGTCTAGTCCCTACATGCTGCTTCCCACAAAGTACAGGCTCTCTTATGCCCCTTCCCTATGTACTTCTCTGAAGATTTCACTGGCAATCCACAAGCACAAACGTACTCCTTGGCACACTGAACATGCTCTTCACTCCCTTGGACAGGGCAAGGTCTTTCAGATTTGAGCTTGGGTTCCTCAGAAATAAGGACTCAAAACTCATGCAAGAACATGAACACAACTGCTCACTTCTAAATGCCTCTGTGTATGAAGAGTACAACTAGGGTATAGACACATACTGTGACACTTGAGTCTGAAGACACAAGACAAACCGGCTTGTTATGGGGGAATGCAAAGAACCAAGCTAATCCAGTGAGCTACTCTGCTTTCATGAACCATGTGAATCAGTATTTTTTTCAGACACAGCTTCAAAGTTCCTCAGTGAATAAACTGCTATGCTGTATTGTTAAGGCTGTAACATGCCAACTATCAGAAGATAATCTACTACCCCTAAAATGTGGTCAATTGTTTAGCTTCCATTAAAGTCAGTGACACTGGCAAACGTATAAGGAAGTAGCAACAAGTCTACTGGCTACACACAGCAAATGAACACAGAGAACTCTGTTGAATATGCTGTTAAGATACAGTAGTACTTTCTCTTTCTGCTTTGGAGAAAATGAAATATAACCAGAAATCAGAAACAGATTTGGAAAATAAATAGCATTGTTGTACCTTTCTAAAATCTGAAAAATCAGTCCTATACATGAAACTCACTAATGGTGCTTCTTACATCCCAAACAATGATATCTTTACATATAGCTACCTTAATGAAAGAAACTGCTGCTTTAAAATGTAAAGAAATATTCTATTTTATTGTAAGTATAAAAAATAAATACTCCACTAAGGAATGGAAGAAAAAATAAAGCACATTAAATAATTTCATTACATTCTAAGATGCCAAATCATCTGTGAGTGGTTTCTTTTTAGATGAAAAGAAATCAAAATATAGGACAGATGTTGGACAAACCACATTTGAGGTCTATCACACACTGGTATTTTTCAAATGATTTTGGCTCATCTATTAAATAAGGTGTATTTTGCTTGATTTTGAAAAGGGAAACATCAGGAAATATTTAAAGGCCAATTGCTGCCAATTAACTTTGATCAGCAAAAGTTGCATTTGAATCTTTTAGATTCTTTTGCCTGTCTGGAATAACACACTATTCTAAAATCCAGCAAAACAACAACTTGATGATTAATGTGTGTTGGCAGCCCCACCACAAGCTTGCTTAACAGCTGGATTTTAAATAAACAGCTGTCTTCACTATGATGGGAAAGAAATCTGACTGTTTTCATGTTTTTGCGCTGTTAAAATATGATCAGAAAATGTTTTTTTCCCTTTTAAGATGAAAGAGCCAGGCATTATGGTGACAGTCTCTTTCAGCAGTTTGGATACTTTTGGAACCATCTCACAAGCATTACCAAACTAGAGCCTGCATAGGCTGAAAAAAAACCTTGGCAAGACGACACCAGCTCCTTGCCACATGCCGCAGGATTGAGGCACGCACAGCAGAGAAACCCTAGCACGTAACAAATAGTACCTGCCCCCAGGAAAGGCAGAGGACCCCCAGTAAACAGCCCATGGAGACAGACAGCATATACAACATTAATGATTTCCCTCGGGGTTAAGGTAATACTTGCCCACAGCATGATGTAGGTGAGAAATCTGTACCCAGCCATTAACTGTTTATAGAAGCTGAGGATTAATATTTAATGGCCTGTGCAGACTACTGAATTCTAAAGTTTATAGATGCATTTGGTGCATCCACTTCTCAAACCTGTCTACTGTGGTTATGAAAACTAAGACCTGTGAGGACAAAACTCCACCATTTAAGCTACTGTAACCTTTGAATGCCAGTGCGGCCATTTATTGTAAATATTACTATATATCCTAATGACAAAACAACACAGATATTTTCTAAATGTTTTCATATTAAAACTGTGAAACCAAAAATAACTGCCAAGCCATCTAACAACACATAAAAAGAGACAAATATTAAATCACCTTTATGTCTTTCAAAAAAATGAACACTTACTTCTAAATCATTAAAGAATAGATGAGTGTCCGCCAAATTGAAAATCATCTCTTCCATTCGGAGTCCAAGAGACACAGAAGTGGGTGGATCCTTAAAGAAGAAATTGAGTACACCATCAATACCATGCCTAACATACATACCAGAATATAAACTGAAGGAACTATTTTTCAAGGTAGATTATATGATGTATTAAATGCAACATCTGCTTCTTCAGTTTAACATCAGTAACTCTCTAATCCTGTACTATAACACTTTCCAGTAACACTCAAAAATACAAATTTAACTTGAGTGATACCATGATCCTGCAGCAGGACCTCTGTGGTCACCCTTGTGCACCCCTGGCATGGGCTCTCTGCCCTCTGTGCAGAAAGGCCAAATCGATTTCACTTAAAATTTCTGCAGATTTTACAGTTGTTTACAAATTTTACGATCAACCAAGGGCATGATAATGCTATTGTTACTCAAAATAAACTCTCCCTCGTCACAAGTGAAAGGATTCAGTCCTGGGAATACCTAGTGACTTGAAAGCAAATCACTGTTAATGTTTTATTTGCAAATGGCAATTATATTAAAAAACACTCCTTGATTCTCCACAAAAAGATGCTTTAATTATGCTTTCAGCTTGGCCCACCCATGCAGAGTGAACAAATCTATTGTCTGTTATTAATACATAACACACTTTAACTTCTCTACAGAAATTACTATAACAACTTATTCCTTACTGAGCTAATAAACTCAAAAAGCATGTTCGGCATTGTGGTTACCAAACGCATTGCAGATGTTTGCCTTGTTGTGATTTTTTTGTGTTTTATATATTTTCAACCTGAAAAATTGAAATGAAAGCCTGATATATACACTTGATATAGAGTTTCTCCTTTATAATGGCAAGTATATCCAAGCACACAGAAGCATCAGTTTGAAAGAACACGTTACATCATCTCATGACACCCTCTATTAACAATGTTAGTTTGTTAGGAATTATATTTTAACTAGAACTGCAGAAGTGACAATTCATATTTTACTTGAAATAAGTTAATATTCTAAACCTGATGACAACTCAAAGTTAAAAAACAAGAGATTTAGTCCCTAGTTTCTTTTTCCACCTCTCAATAAAATTAATAGGTGTTTCAACATGATCTCTGAACTTTAAAACTTTTTTTTCTGTAACTACTAGCTAAAAACCAAAATGTGTCAGTAGCAAAGAGCTCAAAAAGAATGGTGATTTGGCAACCTGTTTGCTTTCTGGAAATGTAAAAACCCAAATAAAACTAACCAGAAAAAGTATTTTGGAAAGAAGCATTTAGAAACAAAGCTACATAGAACAGACAAAACATCTTTTTTTGAACTCACATACATTTAAAAGCAAATAAGTAATCAAGTATATATATAAAAAAAAAACAACACCAAAAAAAAACCTAAAAAATGGGAAAGAAAAATTGCATCATACTATTTTGATAACCTTTGCCCTCAAAAATAAGCATTCTATTTTAACTGGCAACGCCAAAAAAAGAATAGTTGGCTTCCTGATTCAAATGGAAAGACTTTAAAATATGAATAGAAGTATTCTGTCCCTCTGTTTTAATACTGGTCTATTTGTAGGCCTATGTCTTCCTTTCTTTTACTTTTGCAGGCACGTGAGGTGGAAAGCAGGTGAGATTTGCTCTCCAGCTAGACCTGAGGCTACTTTTCCCTCTGACATTCCTGTTGATCTTTGTTCCCAGTTTCCACCCCACCATCCTTCATAGCTCATCAGTCTTTTTGTTTTAAACCAGACAATGATTCCTCTTGTGCCTGAGCCCTAACAGGAGTCATCCCACAAAAGTCTCTGCTTTAGTTATTAAAAGGAGTTAGATGGACTAAGGGTCTAAGATGCAAATGAAGATCACTAGCTACACCTTGATGATCAACTGCTAATGTAACAGAGCAGAACTAATCCCATTCTGAGTTTCCATCCATAAATAGGAACATCATTTTCAAAAGCAGAATAAATGGGCAGATGGAGCATGATACTGGTTATGACCCAAATGGTTATTTTTAAAGAGATGGCTGTGAATATATATTCTAAGTTTCAATGTACACACAACTTAAATATTTTTATTAAACTTTTAATCACATTTCTGAGTCTGAAAAAATGTTTTTTTGTAAAGCTTTCTGTGAACCATCTCACTCCAAGGTATTTTTTAAATGGCAGACAAAACAGAATGGGTATTTCTCTGAAGTAATGCTAAAATAATGCATTTATTAGGTTAATTTACTTGGGAGAAAAACAAATAAGAAAATCATTGGCACCTACTGAAAATGTCAGATTAAATACCATAGGAGCTAAGAGAAGAAACAGAACAGGTAGCTTTTTAATTCCTTGACTTAATTGACTTGACTGAAATCAATCTTTTTCTATAGAAAGTTCCACATAGCATAGAAACCATGTTAAGCTGCAGCTCTGGATACCCACATGTTTAACAGAGGCAAAAGTCTTATCTGCATTAGTGTTATAAATGCCTGCATAGTCACAAACTTGCAAGTGCCCTAGTAAAAAGCACAAGAGCTTGGGTTTAAGGCACTGCAGCAGATTAAACCCTGATGTCAGACATTACAGTGGGGACTGAAAACTTAAAAAAAAGACAAGGCTAGAATAAGTTTTCTTTAAAAATAATCCCATAGTGAACCTTCTTTTGCAATTTTAAGCCACTAATTGCTAACTAATTATTGTGAGGTGTCACACAATGAGGAGGAAAGCTAACAATCTCTCCTTGTTGATTGGGATTTGCAGGTTCGGTTGGAGTGTCTTTTCAGGTATGGTCAAAATTAGGTACAAATCTCTGAGGGAGGTACAGTTTAGCTAAAGAAAAGAAATACCAATGTCAAACTGCTTAAGCGGGCCTTTGTTTTGAATACTGGTACTGGAGCCAAAACATTGTCTGTATGTCATTTCTAAATTCTACCCACTTGATTTCTTTGTTTTGTGGAGAAACAAGAAGCTGAAAAACAGGAAAGTTCACTTTGGGGTACAAGGCTTATTTTCCACTTAAGCCTACAGGTCACAAATGAAGGGCTAAGTGAAACCAGGCTTTGTTTTTATCAATCTCTAAAATATATTAAACCACATTAAAATAGCTTATAATTTAAAGGGAAATTCCTTTAAAGCCTCTGAATATAAATGCTTTCATGGAGAATGGAAATGTACATAAGGACCACAGTATTCTAGGGCCAATACTGAGACATATTTCCACCTGCTCTAAAAGACTAAAGAAGGGCTCCAACTTTTTCCAAATTCTAAAACTTAATCATTTGATATCTATCTCAAAACATATTTTTTGAGGTCTTAGAAGCCCTAATGCCAATTAAAGTAACAGATAACTTTATATTTGATCAATAGATCTCTCACTGTACATAAACAAATACAAAATCCAAATAGAAATGGAAATTAGTTTTGTTTCTTTATTTTTTTTCTTCTGGAAGGACTTATCATATTCCTATACTAGTTGCATACATTTCATGTTCACAAAAATGAAATCACCTTTAAAAAAATGTAGCAGTTTATACCATGACTGTGCAAAAGGAAAAGCAGACGCATGATTTTGTTCCAACAATGCTGAAGGACAAAAGCAGGGAGAAAGCAGAGCACAATAACAGCAAAAGGAGAGCAGGTGATAAAAAGAGATGAGAAAGTAAGAATATACAGAAAAGGGTGGCCCAAGCAAGAAGTTATGAGGAAAAAGAGAATAAGGAAAAGAAAATCAATCCCTTCAGCAGCAGGACTGCTCATCATTCATAGTCATTCACCATGAAACTCACTCAGGCATTATGAAAAGAGATGAACACCAAGTTGCCAAATCCTCTATTATTTAATGAGGATATTTTTGCTTGTTTGAAGATTCAGCTTTTGTATTTTAATGATTATGTGAGAAGCTTAGATTTAATTTTTTAAAAGGGCATTTCTAGCCCTCATCACAGTGCAGAAATGTATGAGAAGGTGATGTCAGATTGCTCAAAAAGCAGAACACAGGTGAAATGAACAGAAATTCCCCACTATTTTTTTTTTCTACAGATTGGCTTATGATCTGGATTTCTGATTTTAAAGGCCAGAAATCATTAGAAAACACTCTTTTGAAAACTGTGCACCTCCCATTGCTGCAAATAAACCCTACAATTATCATATGACAGATGCAGGTTTTAGCATGTTTGCTTTGAACATTTGACACTGTCTTTCTCTAATGTCTCTGGAAATTGCTAACTGTTGTCTGAAGCTACCAATAAACCAAGAAAAATTGTGATATGAATGAATTTTTAAGAAAATAAAACAAAAATGGCACACTTCCATGACTTTCAGAGCCAAAGACATGCACAATCCTACCCCTCACCAAAAAGATCTAATATTTATCCAGAGAATAAGCAGTAATGCCGTCATTCTTCTCAAGAGCAACGGCTGATTGTCATTTAGCAATGAAGAAGTATCCTGCCGCATGCCATGCAACAAAAGCCAGCTGGGTGAAAGATACATCTCAAGTAAACAGTGTCTGCAGTGATGGAGCTACCATCGAGAGTCACCCACCTCCTGGCAGCATACATATTTATATCTCCCTGCAGCTCAGTACTAGCCACTTGCCTCAGCCTCAAGCATCCAGCAAGAAAGGTTGTTTATGTTCAGGCCTCAATTAATGAAACCATTCTAGGGAACTAGTAACAAATGGGAAAAAAATATGCTCACACAAGTACTTCTACAGCAATGACTAATTAGGTTTTTCCAGCAGGGTTCTGCTGCCCAAAAGCAAGTGGTGAGATTCTGTCGGCACTGAGTTCTTTTTGTCAGCACTGGGATTTGTTCTCCTCATTCTGAACTGAACTGTCATAGATTTGGTCATTTTGGGATGCCATGCAAAAGCAGGTTTTGGCCCAAAAAAAGGAAAATAACTTTCAGTAAATGTTTATAAAGCTGTCCTCTATATTATCCATACAATAATTGTTGGAGCATTTAAAGTTTTAGTGTCTTTTTACAAGGTAAATATAAACTAATAACACCAAGGAAACCAAGGTTGCTGAATTAACTTGCTTTTCTACCACATAATGAAGAAAAGCTAATTATAGTCCTCAAACAGGTAACCTGCTATTACAGCAAACACTTCCGAAAACACACTGCACCTTAACAAGCATGAAAGGTTGCAAGCAGTCCTGCTTTAGACTTTCACAATGCATAAAGCTGTTATGAGGAATTCAGAACCCGACTCAGGCATGGACTGAATCAGTAGCAGCTTTGCTCTTCACTTAACTGGGTGTGGGATGAAATCTTTCAGCGATAAATATAAGTTTTACAAGAAAACAGAGTGATTACATAAAGCCAGACAAAACTCCTGGTTATTCTTTGTATGTAGACTTTAAGTTTACCAAAACCTCACATTCTAGTTATGCCTCACATGAGGTGAACATGAAACGGCATGACAGATTTTAGCACAAGCCGAGACATTAGCTTTCAAAAACAATTCTGGAAAAATAAAGTTTGATCTCACAAGGGCATTCCATTCATAAACTATTCTTATTCACCTAAGTCTGTTTTTCTTCTGAGAGTTACTGAGGAAACCCGCAGCCTGTAGATACATTCATTAGTTCAGTTATGATTTACAGACTGTGCATAATATTTGACTCACAGACAGACTTTCAAAAACATCAGTCAATATGTAGACTTAAAAAAAGTTAAGATAAAAAAATTTAGGCTAATCTGTCTGTGTCCAAAAGTATGCTTCCTCTTGCCTTCTCAATATAGAGCACAGCTCATTGCTGATCGCTCAGAACTAAAATGTTATTTTAGCAATCACTCCTGGAAGCTCTTCACTCTCTGAGGGGAGGTAAACCTTTGCAGATTTTGATGGTATCAACAGGTTTCAGACACTCTGTACCTACAAACCAAACCTCAAGTGGTCAACGTATTTAATTTAATTATTTACTGAATATAAGAGCTAAGTGCAAAGAATGGACACATGAAACAGCTTTACTCCTTGATTTTTTGTCTTGAAACACCAGTACCAGTTTGCCTCTAGAAAATCAACTAATGTTCTGTTTCTTTGTGCATCAACTGTAAACCAACAAATATTATTGAGACATTCCATCATTTTCGTGACACTTACCCTTCCGTATCTGTTAGCATAGGACCCTGTAAGCAAGGAATGGAAAATGATGATTGTCTCATCCAAATCCCAAATGAATACTCTCTGTAAAAAGAGAATCAAATCAATGTGTTCTTTTGTGAAGCCAATACTTGAAATGGAAAGTTAAAATCTGAATCAGTAAGTGCACAAATGAGAAAATTGTATTGAAATGGTTATGTATTAAAACCTTTGTTTCCTCATTTATTTTTTTTTTAGAACTAACAAGTTTTTCCAGAATAAGGTAATACAATCTGTTAGGTTTGTACTACAGCTGCTATTATATCAAATTATTCTTTTTAGAATAGAATTAGAGCTATTTTAAATACACACAGAAAATGAGATTGTACAATGCATTATTTTAATGCCAGATGTGAGATAGAAACAGAAAATAAAAGAGAGGCCTCTGAAAATTAAATCTTTGGAGTCTGAATTCTGTATTTCTGCAAGTCTTATAAAACAAAGTTAATATAACTGCTCTTGGAAATTATCTCTAAAACCAAAATAAATCAAATTGCTGCTAAGCACTTAAATCCCCTTAACCTATCTATGTTCATTTTTAATGGATTTTTAGGCACCTGAAGAATGAAAATTACAGACTTAGATGCTGCATGTGTAAGAATTTATGGCATCAGTAAATAATTGTTTCACTTACAACCAATGGAATATATGTGTTTTAAATTTGTCCTCTGACCACACACAAAATGATATTTTACTAAAAAATAAAGTGTTCAAATAGAAGTACTTTAAGTCCTGGTAAGATTGTATTTCCCCTGATGATAAGTGGGCTAAGATTTTGGAAAGGAAAAGTAATGCAGTGCAGACACTCATAGCTGTGGTGTGTCATTGAAGATGTGCTCTCAACATAAAGCATAGGCCACTGGGAGGAATGTGAACATAGCTTGAGAGAATAAAACCCACTATTGTGCTAGAAGTGTCTCCTGTCGAAACTCAAACCTTCCTTTGACATGGGAAAAGCTTGCCTTTTCATATCTTTTTTGACCAAAAAAGGGAAAGAACCTCCCAGTATTTTTCAGACAAAGTATGTGCTCTTCATGAAGAAGATTCTTTAGAAGAAAAACTCTATCTTCTACAAAAATGCTGTTAGAAAATAAAAGAGAGTTACAATGCTACTTTATTTTTTATGTGTAAATATTACTTCTCTGTGCAAAAAAAAAAAGATAAAAATACAGTCTGTAACAGGTCAAAGACATCTAATATAATGTACCTCTAGATCAGAGTCAGGTGGTGGTGAAGGATTATTGTTTCTTCTGCCACGGCCACGTGATTTCCCATCTGAACTACGACGCAATCTATCCGAATCTGAATCCTTAATGGGCGTTGATGGACTGTGGATTGTACTGTATTCTGCTGTGGCAAAGAAACGACAATTTTAACTTCCAGTTTAAACTTACAAATGTTCAACTTACTTGCTTTTTATGTGACATGTGACACTAAACCCAGGATGTTCACTAAAGCGTCCTAACTAAAATAATTAAATCTACATGATAACCGGAAATACTGATACAGAAATTAATTCAATCAAGATAAATGCAAAACCAGAGCTATAAACTATTTCAGTAAACAAATACACTCTATGTGTATTCCTTCAAATCATAGAGTGTATCACTTCATAGAGAAACTTAAACTCTAAATGAACAATTTTAAGGTATACCAGCTCTTTTTTAAAGCACATTGGTCTAATTCTAAATATTTGAGCATGATTTGAGATAACCACTGTGGTGGCTGGTAAGAAAAAAAAACATCCAGGTGTGAAAAAAAACCCAAACACACAGAAACTGTAAACTTTTCTAAATTGCCTGGTTTCAGGCAGTTTCCTTAGATCTCTGCATTTGAGCCAGATTAATAGAAGTTCTAAATATGGCATAAAATAGAGTCCTTATTTTCCCAGGGTAAATTCAATTAATAAGTTTTAAATATGCATTAACTATGAAGAATAAATTTATAGTATTCTTCAAAGACCTACTCAACACTGAATTCTTCCAATGTGTAACTTCCAGACAAGATACAATTTTTCCCAAAAACAGGATAGTTGGAAGATGTTTTGCTATTCTTAACACTCATAGGCCTAGTAACAGTTAAGTGCTTGAACATTAACGAAGCAGACACTGAGCAGAGACTATACTTCCTAAGTCATTTAACTAGAAGTACCATACTCCTCAGAAATGCAACACATTTTAAAATCTCTTTTCAAGACTTTCTTTCACAATCTGAAGTTCATGGAGAAAAGACTTTTATTTTGATGGTTACTGATGATTTTTTCTTACAAAAAAAAAAACCCAACCAACCCTTATTTTTGTGAAGGCAGCTGAAATTTTCAGGATAAAATATATTTATCAATTTCACTTCTCAGTTAACATTCAAATCATAGTATTCTAACTGGGCCTTAGCTTTCCTAACCTGGTCCCTAGCTTCACGGACAACATCCCTGTATTCTTCCCAGGCCGCCTGTCCTTGATTCTACCAAAATTAACTGCTGTTAGAGTTCATTAGATGTGGATATTTGTTATCAATATTAATTTTCTTTTTAATCAGCCTAGACTGTGGCATTCCAGTTTGAACAGACAGGTATACTTCTCACACAAGTGATTCTTTCTCCTAAAAATAACATCCTGTAGAGGTCAAAGGTTAGATTAAGAAGGAGACTCTGGACATCTGTGTAACACCATATATGCACAATTGCTCAAAATAATAAGGTTGCTTGTGCTGAATGAAAGAAAAATGCCTTCAAATTCTCATGTTCAGCATTTAAATCTACACTTCATGGAAATCAGTATATATCTTTCACATTGTACTTTTACCTAAGTATCTCAGGCTACATTAAGCAAAGCAGAATAACAAGTTAAGATGTAACTCAAGGTAAAATAAAGAATCTTCAAAAGAGACTCAACCGATACATAAAAGAGTGATTCTGTGTATGTGTCTAACAACAAAAACCACTCAGCCACATCACCCTACATAACTAAAGAGAGAGTTTTAAATGTTGAAGTTCATGTATGTTCCAATATGTATTTTTCCTATGAAAATGTATTCTTCAGAATATGTATCTAAACTATTTAAACTTTGAATGCAGATTGCTCTTTCACCTACTGTACTTAAACACAGATAAGAAATCATAACTCAACTAGTACTAATTTCCTAATCTTTTAAACTTAATGAGTTTATCTGCTATACATTATTTAATTATTAAAGTCCTTAAAAAAAAAATCAAACAAAAAAAAAACTATAAAAAAGGAACATGAAAAGAAAGCAAAACACACAAAAGCATTGAAATATATTGTAACTTGGAAAATAAACAGACCAGAATTTCTTCAACTGGCATATTGCCCAATGATGTTCCAAATATGTGCTCTAAAATTCAGATGTAATGAAAAATTGCATTTCCTATCGACTAGTTTAAATTAGGGTTGCTCTTGATGCCTGACAAGATTTTATGAGTTTGGTTTTACATACCATTTTTTTAAATTCTTCTCACAGAAATGATATGCCTAAAAAGTTTAAGCACTAATTTGAGACAGTAATAATAATGCTGAGTGAAATAGGGAACAGAGAGCATGGAAAAAGTATAAAGAAAACTTCATGATGAATAAAACCAGGTAAACGTAAAAGAGTGAGCACACAGAGCAGAGCACGGTGAGAGCAGGGAAGAAAGTCTGTAAGAGCCATCCAGCTTCCATTTTTTGGAAGCACCTTCATTTAAGCATCCTGCATTCAAAATTTCAAACAGAGGGCCACAAGTTTGAGTGGAGGCTCATTTCTCTCTCTCCTTCAAGTGTGCAAACCATCTACTTGGACAGGCCAGACCCTCACCTGACAGAAAGACCCCCAACCCTACTTTGGGACCCCAAGGTTGGCTGTGCAACACCTTAGCCCACCCTTTTTTGGGACCACTGTACCTGCATCATTTCCAGATTTGTCTGTAGTGCTTTTCAGGAAATCCACTCAGCTGTTTTAACAGCCATGCCACTAGAAACAGAACCCACAACTTCAGCCTTCATTACAGCAATATAACTTAAATCTGTGAAAGCGAAGGACAAAAATATTCCCTTCATTGTATCTGCATGCATTCGAAGACTGTTCTTAGATACTCTTTGTTGCTAGGTTAACCCTCCCTGTTGATCTTGCTTTCTAGGTTATGATTAATGCTCTCTGTAGTCTCTCCTAACTGTACACAGTAATACACAGCAAAGCTGAGCAAAGCTTTATTTCCCACGTCCCACAGCCTACTCTCCCTGTCTACCAGTTGGCAGAAGACAATCTCCATTTTCACAATACTTCCAGTAAATGCTAGTTTCAGGATTCCTAGGCCATCTTCAGAGGAGGAAACAACACCTACGTGGTAATTTCTCAAAGACCTGGCCAAATATTGCACATGGATACACAACATTGCTAATACCTGGAGCTTCTGAGCCTACCTGGAGCTTCTGAGCCTCCTCAGGAGAGCAGTCAGTTATGAACAGTGTGACAGATGGCAACAACCAATGGGGAAAAACATGACATCGTGTGCAAGAAACTCACTCCATGTATGTAAAAGGAAACCATAGCATGTACTCTTTGGATTAAGGCTCTGTGTGCACAGCTGGGTTACCAGCTCCCTGCCCAATGGTCGCTCTCAGGTCCTCATAAGGAAACCTAACTAAAGAATCCAGTATCCAGCTGAGCCCTGCGCCTCGACAAGCCCAAGCCCTGACAAATTCTGAAGCAAGATAAACAACAGCGGCTGAGGGTACTCAGTGTGCCACTAATATCTGTAGTACTCAGAGCAGTTCGCAGGGAAAGGTAAAGCCTGGAAGGAGCTGCCAACATTCCCCATCCCACATTTGTGCAGTTCATCATTCCTGCCTAAATCTATACCTCACACCTGCTCCTATTCAGATCACATCTCCATTTTTTGAGTTCTCATCCTGTCTCCAAAGAACTCACAGCCCCTCTCAGCATGGTGTCATCTACATATTTAATAGGCAAACACATTCTGTTCCGTCATCTAAATGATTAATGAAAATGCAGTCTGGTGCTAGGCCCAAGGCAGACACTGAGGAATGTTTCTGTAGCCATCTTTCTATTTTAACAGTGAGCTCTCACTAACTTCTCTCTGGACATGGTTTCCTAAACAGTTTTATATCATTCTGCTGTAGTTTCTGCTAGGCTGCTTTAGCCTAGTTTGTTTATCAGCTGTTAAGTGAAAAGGTTTAACTGTCAGGGCAGCAAAAGCCTTGCTGAAGTCAAGCTATATATCCACAAAACATGTTATTGCTATACCCATTATTCTACATTCATTGATACGAGGAGGTCAATTTGTTCAACCTCAGCTGGCTTCATGGTATCAGATATATTGTAGTATTAGGCAAGGGAAATTATTGTTTCTAAATCACTGAATTTATTTTTATCCTGCTCTTGAGCATCACAAACACAAGGAAGCACAGGAGAAAACCCAGCCCTCCACAAAACTGTAAGTGGAAAAGGGGGTGAGGATGAGCTCTCCACTGCTTGTCCCAGTATTACAGCAAGATCACCAAAGGAAATCCAGCAGCAGCCAGATTAAACATACGAAGGAAGAGTTCAGATAAAACCTAGAAGAATCGTGGCACATTTTGCCAGAAAATGCCAGGCTTTCAAAGGATTACAAAGGTTCAAGAGGATTCTGAAGACACTGCTGGAAGATGATACGGGGAAAGCATTAGGAGTGCTACAGCCCTGCCACATTGTCAAGTTGGTTCTGTGGGACCAAGCAAGTGGTGGCAATGACCCCAGACTTCCCTGCCTGTTTCTGGGAGGTCATTTCAGGGCATGTCCCACCTGATCTAGTCTCTTATCTTCCCTAATGGGGCCTGGAACAATTAGGAGCTATCTTGGAGGACAGTTTTGACTGGAAGGACTCCAGCCAGGTGCTCTTGGACCACTCTGCTGAGCCAAAGCTTTTCATCAAGACTCCTGCTCCAAATTAAAATGCTAATGCAACATACAAACACACAAACAACATCAGCTTTGGAAATCACCTGAGATGAAAATATCTGGAAACTGGAAAAGTGCTTAGGGCAAGTCTTATCCAAACTTAGCCTGCTCCTGAGGTGTCTGCTGAGAGCCACTGTGGAGGCAGGATATGGGGCCAGTTGATCCATCAGTCAGGACCACTACAGCCATTTCTGTGTGTTGCATATGCCTTCACAAAATTACATTAATGTAACAACAGTTCTTTTTCGACATTCATTAAAAAACACTGCTTATTTCTGCTTCACACACTCTGAGCAAGTTCTTCAAACCTTGACCAAGCACAACAGACCCAATCATCAGAAAAATATTTTGAATTCAGATTCTATAATTTTATGCCTCCTTCATCAGTTGTGACTGGT